GTGATAAAAAAGAGAAACGAAAAGAGAATGTATCAAAAAGAAGAACATAACAAAGAAGAGAATGTATCGAAAAAAGAGAATGTACTGAAAAAGGGAGTGTACCGAAAAAGAGAATGAAAAAGAGAATGTACCGAAAATAAGTACAACAAAAATATATATCAATCGAAAGAAAAAAATTATATATAATCAGTAGTTCAAACAATCATGTGCTCGCATACTTTAGTCGGAGCGGGAGTAATTAAAAGGGTTAGATTATGATGTCAAATTAATAGTTGAAGGGACATTGATGGTTGAAGGATCATTAATAGTTAAAGAATCATTAATAGCTGAAGGATCAATATTTAGCATAGGTTCTTCATGGGCAAGAGGAAGAAAGAAAGGATTTGAGAAGGTTTGATTAATGAAACTATTTTGAAATACTTCAACAGTCCCCGATACTGGATATAATCTGCCTAAATAACTTGGTATAAGTTGCTCTTGATATTGGGTATAAACTCCTGGCATCAGGTAGGAATAACTCTCGGTACTAGAGGTGAGTTGATACTGAGTGTAAACTCCTGGTGTCAGGTAAGAATAGCTTTCGATACCGGGCATAAGTTGATATTGAATGTAAGCTGCTCTTGATACTGGGTGTAAGCTATTTCTGATATTTCCGATACTAGGCATGGAAGTGTTAATATTTGAAAAAGGTTGGAGATTTGCAAACCCAGGATTTTGTCTGCGCGGCTTGGGTCCACGTTTGTTACCAGGGAAGAAACACAGAGTCGATTGTGTTCTTTACAATTTGTACAGATTAGTGATCCAAATCGCTAGTTGAAAAATCGACTAGTTGACAACTTTCCAACTAATCGATTTAAAAAATTTAAAACAACTAATCGATTAATCATCAAACTAATACAGTTCCGATATATTCTGTCCAATCGGGCTGTTTCATGTTGAAATCTTTGGTTTGATTGGCTAATCACCTAATGAGATCATGTGATATGCAAAATCGATTAGTTGCAACTATAGTTGGCAACTAATCGATTGGCAAAATTTTTACCAACTCGGAACACTAGTACAGATGCCCTCACCAGGAAGTCTTTCACATCTTTTATGCCTCCGTTGGCAATTTATACATGCTAAGGTCACATGAGCACGTGTTTTTTGTTGAGGCATTATTATATATGAACCAAAAAAAGGTCAAACTCTACAACAACAATGGGAAAACAAAATTGCAAGCCTTAGATCTTAAAACAAAAAGATTTTTACAGTGACTGTTTGTATTCAAAAAGACAGTTTTGACCTTAGATTTAAAAAAATTTTTTTACAATAACTGTTTTTATTCAAAAAAACAGTTTGAAGTAATTAAAGTCTAAAAGTAAAAGGGTTATATAATTTAGCGCATGTGCGTTGTAACGCACCCCCTGATCAACCAATTAAAACGTAAGGTCAGGTGTAACGTTACATGATCAGGAAAATTCAAAACAAGCGTTCGTTTTGTCAAAAATCGCTTATAACTCAAAATTTCGCATATGCAACTACCTTTGGGGTCCTAACAAAAAAAATCCCTTGCAAGATTTTACTATATGTCTATCTTTTATATCTATCTTAACCTTAACTAACGCTAACCCTAATCACATAAAAAACCATTGTTTTGATTTTATGTTATACCTGATCTTATGGGGTGCGTTACAACACACCTGCGCAAAATGATTAAATCCTTTTATTTTTCCTTTTTGTAATCCAGATGATCATTCAAAATTTCTAGATATTAATATAACATGGTGTTATAATTGATATAATTTTCCAAATTTTATTTGATATATGGGTGAGCCAATAGAAATCAAGCAAATTTTTTATAATAAAATTTTTTATAACTTTAAACAAGAATAACTTAACATAAACTTAATCAAATTTAATAAAATTTTTTTAAATAATTTTTATAAGAATATTACTAACCATAACCAGTGGTGATTATCACCACTATCACATAACATATAAATTACAACATATTATGCTATCACTATATAAAAATTTATATACAGTATATTAAATTTACATTATCAAATTATTATATAATCATAACAAATTATTAATTTT